ATGGCTCAGTGTCACCTCCAGAACCGTGTATAGATCCGGGGTAGAATTGGTCTTCAGCAACCCATGCTTGCCGTAAAAGGCGACTATGCTTGTCACAAGAGGCCACTAACGGGATCGGGTGGTCAGGCTCGCTGACTTGGTTCATGCATGTCATCGTATCCCCATTGCATGGATCGATGCCCTTGATATCAATTGCAGGATTGTCTGATCCAGACTCGATTATTTACAGACCGCCGTCATATAGTTGGAATATTGCTGAGTGCGGTGTTAAACAACAAACAAACAAACAAACAAACAAGGTACTCGAGTATTGCTGAGTGCAGCCTTAAGCAACAACAACAACAAAAACTATCACCTCTAATATAAACTGCCGGGCAAAAGAAAGTATTCACTCATGTTTGATGGTCGCTAAAACTGAAACAAACCAGAAATGGATATTCGAGGGTGATGTATTTGAAACGATATTACGTGCATCATATAATGACTACCTCACAACAGGTGACGTGGACATCTCAAGGATTGGGGTCGCAATTTCACAGTACACAGTAATGAGGGTGAAGCAGGTATTGTCATGATCACTTCGAGTGCATACTTTCTTTTGCCCGACAGTGTATTCTTTTATTTGATACATATCGCCATCAATATCGTTTCGCACTCAACAATTGATATTTCGGCTATATAATGCAGGGAGAAAAAGAAGTATCGCTGTAAAACGTGTTGTGCCGTTATTGGTGACGCACAACCTCTGATCACACTGAACAACTCCGAGTGTGTGTCGTTCGGGCACAACATGTGTTCATAGCAGCGACCCGCCCGCTAATTCCTTCGCTCATAAACACTTTGGATGGCGTGTGTAACACACACTATTCTGAACGTTAAGTGACAAACCTTCTAATCGCACCAAGCTGAAGAGATGTGGCTGAAAATTGCTAATAGCATCGTCAAACAACCAAACAAACAGCTTAGTGTTTGTTCTTTAAAGCCGCATTCAGCAATATATGTTTTACAACCTGTAAATAATGGAGTCTGGACCAGACAATACAATGATTGATATTATGAGCAACGAGCATGCTCATCGATGACACACAATCAACCAAGTCACCGAGCCTGACCTCCCCACCCTGTAAGTCATCCCTCATGACTAGTACATGTTGATGAAGGGGAGGTAGGGTAGCCTAGTGGTTAAAGTGTTCGCTCGTCACCCCAAAAGCCCGGGTTCGATTCCCCACATGGGTACAATGTTTGAAGACTATTGCTTGTGTCGCCTCCGTGATATTGCTGGAATATTGCTATAGCTAAAAGCGGCGTAAATCCACACTCACTCACTCACTCACATGTTGTTGGGGACCTATTGTAACCCGGACTCACTGTCCTCAGTTTTGGTGACACGGTTGATACATGTCATTATATCCCAATTTCATAGATCGATGCTGATGATGTCAATCACTGGATTGTCTGATCCAGACTCGTTTATTTACAGAGTGTCGTCATATAACTCTGAATATTGCTGTGTGCGGCGTTCAACAACAAACAAACAAACACACACACAAACTATCGTAAATCATACAGTCGGTGCGCGAAACAATGTCTGTAGCAAGAAACCCGCGAGCATCAGTTCTCACACAATGTGTAGCTATAGAATACCATTGAGAACAAGTCACCTAGCCTGTCTCACAGTCCCTCAAACATATCATTGTCCCTTCCGTCAAACCTTACTGTAACGCAAAAGCTCTATGAATGAAGCAAGTCTAGATTTTCCACAGGTTCTAAACCTCTCATCTCACTGGGGCTCCTTTTCATTTTAAATGGAGTTGTTTATTTCTACCAACATTATATATAGGGGCGGTCGGGTAGCCTAGTGGTTAAAGCGTTCGCTCGTCACGCAGAAGACCGGGTTCGATTCCTGACATGTGTGAAGCCTATTTCTGGTGTCCCCACCGTGATATTGCTGGGATATTGCAAAAAGCGGCGTAAAATCAAACTCACTCACGATCAACATTATTTATTTTCATAGTCTAAGCGTTAATCTACATTGAGTTCAGAAGTCCCCAAGGTGCATGTCACGAGCACCACCAAAGGCCTGGTGGAACTAAACCTGCAACAACAATGTTCACAAGACTACAGCGGGGAAGTCTTGGAGCATGTGAGAGTCATTTCCACGTAAACTAATGGTAAAATAAACTTCGGTCAATTGTCCGTACGGTATTTGCTCCGCGGCGTCAAACAGCTGTTAAGGATATACGAGATCGCATCAGGTATTAATAAGGACCGCTCCAAGAATAACTTTGTAAAATGGGGCATGTTTGGTTTTGGAACAGGTATCTAAAGACAACCTGATATTTGACACTACCCATACATGTGGTTTGTAGTGTTGTCTAATCACGCACAATAAACAAGTGAATGTAAATACACAAATTCCGTAATTAAAATAAGAAGAGGTTAAATGCACGCCTCTTAACGTCACGATTTCTCAATCAACGTCAACAAAGAAAAAAAGACACCTATTGCATGTTGTGTACAATTATTGAGCTCACTGTTATTGCGTTGTTCTTTGTGGTGTCAAATGAATGTATTGGCGACAGTACCAAGTTTGCTAAACTAACGGCCAAAAGAAAGTATACACCCATGTGAGACGGTGGCTAAAGTGAGTGAGTGAGTATGGTTTTACGCTGCTTTTAGCAATATTCCAGCAATATCACGGCGGGGGACACCAGAAATGGGCTTCACACATTGTACCCATGTCGGGAATCGAACCCGGGTCTTCGGCGTGACGAGCGAACGCTTTAACCACTAGGCACCCGACCGCCCGAAACGGTGGCTAAAACTGAAACAAAGAAATGATGTATTTGATACGGGTATCATAGTTGTGTTTTAGAGCTTAAGTTTGCAGTGTTTCGGCGACTGTTTTCAGCCCAGTAACGCTTTTAAAAAGTTTGTATTTTGGGGTCAAATCCATTTTTCAAGTGTATAATTTCTTTTGCCCAGCAGTGTATATTTCGACTTTTGTCGCCAACTAATGTAAAGGGAAACCCCGCTTCGTGGTTTGGTACTGATGTCTAGCCTGAGTTTACACGCTGAAATTAGTGTCATGTTTGATATTGAGCCCATCCTCGAGTGTCCAGTGTATAATGTCTTCATTCTATAACAATAAAATTATTGACCATTCGCCACTTTGTTTCTCCATTTTCCCTGTGATTGAACACAGCAGCATTCCTCTCGCTCGTGGGAGTAATTAGACAGGATGGCGATTTCCAGCGCCGTCATTCAAATCAGGCGAGGTTGTCAGGTGATTTTATAAATGTTACTGCACGATTAATCGATGGCCACTGCCGATTTTATACACTGTGTTATTATATATCGTAACAGTATCAGACATAATTTTTCTCACAAATGCATCAAATTTGTAAATGTCCTCCATATGTTTAGGGCGGGCGGGTGGCCTACTGGTTAAAGCGTTCGCTCGTCACGGCGAAGACCCGGGTTCGATTCCCGACATGGGTACAATGTGTGAAGCCCGCCGTGATATTGCATGAATATTGCTAAAAGCGGCGTAAAACCACACCCACTCACTCACTCCATATGTTTACCGTAAAGCCTTTTCAAAACTACATAAGGCTTTAATGGTGTGACCCTGGTGAACAACCTCTCAAGCAAGAGACGTTTGACGTGACTATAGGGGAAACCCCCTTAGTGTCCCTAAAGCCACTAAATGATCCTGGCACGGCTGAGGAGCGACAATGCAGCACAGTCATCGGCCATTGGGCTACCAGTATTCCACATAACTGGAGGGCGGGGACATTCGATTAAAACACACTACGTATAATAAAAAACGTGCGTTCCGTGCAGACAGCTTGACACTTTAGATTGAAAAATTTAGTTTATTTACAAGCGCATGTACAAAGTTTCAACGCCCTTGTATAGTGGAAGTTAAACTAAACAAAACTTGAAACAAAGCTCAACGTGAACTGCGTGGGTTGTACAATGTACTTCCAAGTTTAACGCGGGCCTCATTTAGTTTCAAACACGGATATATGCTTCTGGTACGTGGGAATATCGCTGACACCATCTCGGTATACATATACATGGTCGGGTTCGATGCAGCCAGTTCGCAGTCAGTGTTCCCAGGTATTCGGCTCATGGTCACTGCAATCGCATATGTTGAGTGTAGGTAACGGAATCAGCCGAGTGGGTCCGAACGTCCCCGGATGGTCACTCAACCATTCGAGCCCATGCAACTCGTGCCATTCGGGGACAAGCAGAAAGGAAACCTCATTTGTGACCAACTCGTGTTATTCCGGGACAAGCCTCTTCTTTCAGGTTACGGAAAGGGGCGAGTGGTGACGAATGAGGAAACCTTGTACGTTACGGAAAGCTGCGATTGTTGCCGAATGCCACCAACCGATGTGTCATCGTGCACGGACGGGGTGGGCTGTTGATCATTCTGTAATAATGGTTTGCCTGGTCCAGACTAGATTCTTGACAGGAGTTGATATTGAGCTGAAATACTGACGACGAGCGTAAAACAACATGCACTCATTCGCTCTTAAGTAACCATAACGACGCATAAACAGTCTGTGTGTTTGAACGAGGCATTTTTATTCTAATAAGTCACATTAATGCACCGACTCCACAAGAAAAAGACAGCCTCCGTGGTCTAGTGGTAGAGCGTCCGCCCGGAGAGCGGAAGGTCAGGGGTACAAGCAGCCACACAAACACACACACGTACATGCACGTCGCTATATAAGTGCAATAATCTTGGACGCGACGTTAAACCCAATTTCACCTCACCTCACCACAAGAACAAATATATTTTTGATAATAAAAAAAGCATATAACAAAGTAAAACTCTCCCTTATACATTTATCTGATTGGTAAAATGACCGAGGCATGTTATCTGTTAATTCACAGACAATTTAGGGCGCGGGGGCTGTGGGCTGAACTTTATGTAGATGGCCTCAACAGGTTTCCGTACACTCACTTGAGCGCTTTGTAGGTGGTGGTGTCAACAGAGACGCACGCTCGGATCCTAGCCGGGAAATTTCAATGCAGGCAGTTTCACATGGTATAGACGGATACACGGATCTGACACTGGATGGGCTTGTGAGCCCTGCATTTACCTAAACATGGGATGTGGATTGTTTTATGGTGTTATCTACCTAACCTGCGTATGTGTTGCATTAGGACAAGATGAAGGTAAGAGACATTTCTCTATCGACAAGCAATACGCAACTTTTCACCTGAGCCCAAAGTGCTGTACCGCACGTCAAGGAGAAACACAGGTGATAGGAACAACAATGTTCAATGTAGTTCATCAATTCGCTATCGATTGGGGTGTGATACAGAATTTATTCCTCAATGCGATATTGCAACTTAGTTTCACGGTGTTAAACATTGTCGCGAAACTTGCGTCGGTGTATTTGCATGAATGAGTCATGCTGCGTTCACCTTTTCTTGTCAGGTTCTCGGCGGTCGCGTTTTTGCAGTGTCGTGGCTCTATTTTAAGCCTATTTAATTCGGAACTCGTTTCGATATCTGTTCATAAGTAGACAGATCTTTTGATAAATTTCCTAACGCAAACATCACTCGATCGCCTAGACTGATATAATGCATAGTGCACACAAGGCGGCGAACATCAAAGCCGATTAATTGCTTAACTACCTGTAGTTATACAGGTCCATATAGCACCCTGTAAGGTAGAATGCAACCCCTTCTTGTCAAAGACTAGAAATATTCATTATAATATACACATGTGCAAGATATTCTCCTCCACAAACGAAAAGCCTGATCAAGCAAAATCTTATTTATTTTACAATTTATCAACAGATTTGTAATTGTAATTTGTTGAGGAGGCAGCAGAATTACTTCCTTAAAATCTTCGGTCAGATTTCTGCCTGTATCCCCCCTTAAAGAATATGTGTGATTAACAGGACTGACCACCAATGCATACATATAACTTTTCGAGGAGGGATACAGTGGAAGTCTTTCCAAACTTTCAGTGCAGAATTGTTAATTTACACATACATCGTGTTATTTTTTGTTCTCATTTTTATCAGGAATTATTTTCAAGGTAGTCTTCACTCAATGATAATTATGTACTTGAATATTCTACCAGAGCTTTCACTGGTGTACAGTCTGCATGTCCGTGCCAGTCAGCAATTAACACCTTGCATGTATCAAAAGTAGGTCACACTTGTTAAAGGAGGTGGACACTTTTTCGCCCCATCAGCGAAAAGAATAGAACCTGATGGATCGCTCATTGCCACCACAACCACTATTCTATATAGTACAAAGCAAACAGTCTGTCCCCAACACCCAGTCTGTCAAGGGTCCCTCTTCACGGGTTGATCTAGGGCTTCGGCCACCTACATTCTAGTTATAGGGTCCAGGTTTACAACCCTAGAGACAATGTTTTATGTAGGCTAGTGTTGAGAAAGGTGGAGGTACTCAAGTATGGGAGTAGTGACCTGCTTCCAGTCAAATTGAGGAGAAAATATGTCCCATGTATTCATAGTGGTAGTTGGGCTGTAGTGCAGAAAGTGTATATTGTGAACATTGCTACGGGGTCTTCCTTCTCACAAACTTAATGTATACTTTTATTGCCTCTCTGATTTGTTATGTTAAAGATATTGATTGGACTTATGATAAACTTGAACAAAGTAATATTCCATATTTCCAAAATAATTGTGACATTGTTACACTCAAGTAATTGTTTTTTCATCAAAATTATTATAGTATGATGTTAATCTTTCATTCTGAAGTCGATTTTCAACACAATTTGATCTTTAACTTTCTGATTTTGCAACCTTAAATTGTGAATTGATTCCATTTTAACAAAGTGTTGCACACAAGAAAAAGAGCAACTTTGGAACTACTGTTTGACAATTCCCATTGTTCACAACCTTCTGCAGAAAGAAAAGCAGGGAAAAGCAAATCAAGTACTAACATTTCTTAACCAAGTTATCCTTTAAAAACCAGCTTTCAAACAAATCACCCACAAAGCTCACACTGGTTTTGTAGCCATGCTGTCTGTATCTTCATACCTGATTCATTAGTTGCTCTTTCTGACAATAAACAGCACCATTCTTCAAAGGATTGTACTATTTTCATGCCAATTATTTATGCATCCATTTATTACCTGCAAGCCCTGATGGCCATCATACCATAGGAACACCCATGCCACCTGAAGGTCCTGCGTAAACATAAACATCCTCCTTAAAATTACCAAGTCCCAACACTAAAAGCAACAGCACCAAGAAGATCACCCTGTCTTATCAGCATTTATGCTGCATTGGCTGCCTGTATCAGTGCTGTGGTAGGGTGACCTTTCCTTCACAGCCAACATTTACTGTAGAAGATTTGTGTGCAAAGCTAATACACTGCTCTGCCAATGAAACATTCCTGTATGAATCTACAAAGTGACGCTTGTTGATGTTTTACTACGACTGCCAAACCTAACATTCTGGTGTTTGGATACCATATCGGACATTTTGGGTTAGAAGTATGATGTTTGTATCAACTTATAGTTTAGACGTTGTATGTAATTTATGTTTTTAATAGTGTAAGATGGTTCTAGATATGTATATGTTAAGGTCTTTAAGTAATTTGGTTAAAATTCCTTTTCCAGTGTAAATAATGAAATCCATTTATTTATTACTACTATGTATGTATATCAATGAAGAAAATTCTAAAAAATACTGGTATATAATTTAGAATTAATTTTTTTTATCAATTCAATTTATTGGTATTATTTATTATTGATTAATTGTTTATGAAGATGTGATCCTAGCTTCTTAATATGTATTGGTAATATTCCGAACGGTATCCACTTATATAATGTCTTAACATGGAAATAAGCACCAGTACCTTTTAACATGATCTTGAGTGCAAGGTGAAAGTTGATCTGTGCTCATGACACTATGACCTACATATACATACACTTGTACCTATTTCATAATGATTGTCAGCAAGGTACAGGAATTAGGCAGGTTGAGTCTTTAATTTGGTCATGGTGAATTTATCATCAAATACATTTCTGGCAAGCCTGAGGCACTTTGACACAAAGACTGCCCTCACATCAGACATTGGGTATTATATTGCTGTCGGATATTGAAGTAATGTTACGAGTCTGTGGTGACAGATCACTGCTATTTATTTCCTACAAATTGTATTATGTCACATCTTTGTACACAATACATCAATTTAGGAGAGCATGATGGAGACTTCGATATCTGAGGCTGAAATATATAGCTTTTAGGGGCACAAATGTCAGGATTAATTTCTCACCTTTGTGTTCAATATGAAAGTTAGATCTGCTGCTTTTGTTGAGGCCTGTGTCTAGTAAAATGTCTTTCTGGCTAGTGTGTCTCCACCAAACGAAGCTGGAAGTTTCTTGAAGATTGAAAGGATACATTTAACTAAAATTGTACTGTTCTTGAGACCAGTTAGACTGATCACAGATTTCAAAATGTGACTGAAAACATTTATTTTATTTCTGCTGACTATATGAAAATAGTATAACTGTTGAATAGTATAGCCACCAGGAATAAACAGTCTGTTTGTAATAATTCAAGAAGTTGTTGGTCCCACCCTCAGAAAGGGCACTCACTCACTCACTCACTCACTCACTCACTCACTCACTCACTCACTCCACTCACTCACTCACTCACTCACTCACTCAAGACTACAAATTACCTGATCATGCCCACTTGGAGTGTATTTTTAAGAAATAAGGACATTTATTTTCACCATTTTAATCATTTTAGTGAAAATGGTCAAATGAACTTCAAGATAAAGTGGACAAAAATAATGTTAGCACTAGCGTTTCGTGTTTAAATCTTATCTATTTCCAAGAAGTAATATAACTATATGAAAGCAGATAAAGGACATTAACGTCACTGCCTCATACCAGCCATGCCACTCAGGTTGATAATGACATCCACTAAAATATACATGCACATATTTCATCCCCACTTGGGGATCTATAGCAACACCTCACACACTGTCCACAACAATGGTTTATCAGCCAAATGCCTCTTTGCAAACAACATAAGCCAGTGAAGAATGCTATGAGAACCAAGAAGACTTAGGAACTCAGATAGCCATGTATATGGCAAGATGGTTAAAGCCAGTCTTTCTTTAATGTTTGTGAGTGATTGGGCTTGTTTGACCCCCAGCTTATGCTGTTTGAAGAGCTATCAGGGGGAGGGTTTTGGTTTCAAAGATTTGGTCAGTACATCTGTCAAGTCCATGTGGTCATTGTAAAGTCTTGGGGATACTTTGATCACAAGGCTTTGTATCTTTTCATTAATACAATATGGAGATTTGTAGGTCCTTCTCCGGGGTTTTAGTTCATCTGAGAAATCTTTGAAAGGCCTGTTGTTATGACAATGTTATCTCTGGCTTTAGACCATACAGCAAGGATCAGACCTTTTTCATTAGCTTACCCCTTAATTCCAATTTGTTTTCACCAAAACAATATCATTTGGTTTATATTTCTTCAGCTTTTCTTTAAACTTTAGTGAACCACACCATCTATTAAGTAAGTTCCTAGTAATGTTCATTTGCTAGGAATCAAACCAAGTCAGTGTTAACATGAATTAGACCTCATGACCTTCTGATCATGGATTAGACATCTTGTCCACATGACCTTTTGATCATGGATTAGAAACCTTGTCCACATGACCTTTTGATCATGGATTAGAAACCTTGTCCACATGACCTTCTGATCATGAAGTAGACACCTTATCCACATGACCTTCTGATCATGAAGTAGACACCTTATCCACATGACCTTCTGATCATGAAGTAGACACCTTATCCACATGACCTTCTGATCATGAAGTAGACACCTTATCCACATGACCTTCTGATCATGAAGTAGACACCTTGTCCACATGACCTTCTGATCATGAAGTAGACACCTTATCCACATGACCTTCTGATCATGAAGTAGACACCTTGTCCACATGACCTTCTGATCATGAAGTAGACACCTTATCCACATGACCTTCTGATCATGAAGTAGACACCTTATCCACATAACCTTCTGATCATGAAGTAGTCACCTAGTCTACATGACCCTCTGATCATGGATTAGACACCTTATCCACATAACCTTCTGATCATGAAGTAGTCACCTAGTCTACATGACCTTCTGATCACGAAGTAGTCACCTAGTCTACATGACCCTCTGA